CTGACCTCCCACGTTATTTACAGCCAAAGGGTGTCTGGTAACAACTGCATCGAACCATGCAATGCTTCTGACCGACATAATCCACCTAAGGTTACCATAAGGAGGCACTCAATCCCAAACTGAACACACAGTAAGTAGAAAGTTTTCCAGTGACCTCACGATAAGACACTGTTGAACAAAAACTGTGTGCTGTTGCGGTGTCGAGTAGCTACGGAAGCTCGAAATGCTTAGAGGGTGCAAAGAATTGCACCAGAGTTTTGGCTTGCTGCAAATATCGGAAATGTCTAGGGTGTTGGAAGGAACAAGGTATTTCTCTGAACGCGCAACGCTCTATCGAAAGTCTTCGTAGGGATACACTCCGCAAGCAGTACCAAACTTAATCTCCATGCAATACATAAAATATGCCAACCGAAAAATCAAGTATTTAATTCTTGATTGATTGTAAAATAAATATTACTAGTGTAGTACCTAGAAACTTTGAATGTAGCTTAGCCCGCTGGACGATAAAACACGCAAAATTTATTCCTACTGTCCTGAGCATGCGCTGTTCTGCAACACGGGAAATAAACGAGCGTACAACCAGATACTTGATTTGTAAGTAAATATAAAGATCGCAGAAAGTGTTAAGCATTCGCGTTCCCTGTCAGATCCTGTTGCAGTAGCTTGGGCTGCTGCATGGCTAGTGCACACATTCCATTGCTCTTATGCATAATGGGAACCATTTTGTTCCAGGTGCAAAAATCCCATACATGAAATCCACAATTTGAGGCGTGCCTATTACCTTGCAGTGGATGAAAGAGCTGTTTCGCCCCCTGTTACATCTCGGACTCAGAACAGCGCCTTTGAGTGTATGAGGGAAGATTCTTACAAGGCAATAATTATTTGGCATGCAGCGTCTGTCCACCAAGAATAGTTAATTAAAGGTTCCTGGCTTACATTTTTGCCTCTGAAGAAGCGTGGAGTACGGCAAGACAACAGCAGCTGGCCGGTGCTCCCTTCCTCCGTGGGTGACTCATCCGGTGTGGCACTGTTCAACAGAGCTCATCTGTAAGGTGTTTTTTCTATTCGTAGAATTATTCCTCAATAAATAACGCATATGTGTAGCATCTAGTAAAAGACAGGCTAGAATTGGCAAGCAGATCCAGTCAGAAGCACTCGCCCTTCAATAAGCACAGCTGCGCGTGCGGCCGTCAGCAGCCACCCAGCACCACCCCCGCCACAACCCCTGAAACGCTGCCTCCGCTGCATAAGCCTCCGGTGCCTTGATTCCCACGGGCGAAAGGTTCTCTTGTTTGGTTTTCTTTTTCTCAGTTTCCCCCCGAGGCCGTTCTGTTGAGGCAGGAATCGGCACAGTTGCGTGCGCCCGCTGTGTCTGGTGCCCCTTCTTGCCTGCAGCAGGGCGCTGACCCGTCGCCGCCCTTTGCGTGCAGTAGCGCTTCTCTGTCACTTATTTGTCTCGAGAAAATGAGGGAAATCGTTCACGTTCAGGGTGGCCAATGCGGCAACCAGATTGGCGCCAAGTTCTGGGAGGTTATTTCCGATGAACACGGCATAGCCCCGGTAAGGAGCCCCTCTTTTTGCTGGGATTTGCTTGTTTCCCTCGGTGCACAATCAGATTTTCAAAGCACTCTTCAACTGATACCCAGATATTGTTCCATACAGCATTAAGGCCGCGATTTGCCTGCTTGCAAGGGTGCGGTGATGCCTCCACCAGGCGGCGTCCCGTGCGCACAGCCAACGCCTGTTGCATCCAGGTTTAAAAGATGTCGCCTCGCATAAATTTGTTTTAGATTCTGTTGGATATTTTCATTTTCTATGTTATTTTCACTGTCGAGCATCAGTATGGCGTCGTAGCAGCAGTCAGCCCAGTGTTGCATTCCCCCTCCCCAGCGGGCACGCGTGCCGCTGCCCAGTGAAAAAAATATTCGGATTGCCCGATTAACCTTTTATAGAGAAACTGTTTATCATTTGCCTAATAATATCTTCTCAATGAAATGCTTTCTCCCGTCTCGTATGGTAAGCTTTGGTCCATTTATTGAACTTGTCTGATTCTTCACATTTATTCCGGAAGCCATTGTAACTTGTCATCTTTGTCTTGCTCCAGACTGGCACATACAAAGGAGACAGTGATCTTCAGCTCGAGCGCATCTCTGTTTTCTACAATGAAGCGACGGGTGGCCGCTACGTCCCCAGAGCCGTTCTTATGGACCTGGAGCCCGGAACAATGGACTCTGTCCGCTCAGGGCCTTTTGGTCAGCTGTTCCGCCCGGACAATTTTGTCTTTGGCCAGACTGGAGCAGGGAACAATTGGGCGAAGGGTCACTACACGGAGGGTGCGGAGCTTATCGACTCTGTGCTAGACGTCGTGCGGAAAGAGGCGGAGGGTTGTGATTGTCTCCAGGGATTCCAAGTTACCCATTCGCTCGGTGGTGGTACGGGAAGTGGCATGGGAACACTGTTGATTAGCAAGGTTCGCGAGGAATATCCTGATAGGATCATGGAAACCTTTTCGGTCTTCCCATCCCCAAAGGTGTCGGATACAGTTGTCGAACCGTACAATGCTACGCTTTCAGTGCACCAGCTTGTTGAGAACGCCGACGAAGTCCAGGTGATTGACAACGAGGCTTTGTACGATATTTGCTTCCGGACTCTGAAGCTCACCACGCCCACGTATGGTGATCTAAACCACCTTGTTAGCGCAGCAATGTCCGGAGTCACCTGCTCTCTTCGGTTCCCTGGTCAACTGAACTCTGATCTGAGGAAATTGGCGGTCAACCTGGTACCCTTCCCTCGTCTGCACTTCTTCCTTATTGGCTTCGCACCGTTGACCAGCCGTGGCTCGCAGCAGTATCGCGCACTCACTGTTCCGGAACTAACACAGCAAATGTTTGATGCGAAAAACATGATGTGTGCATCCGATCCCCGCCACGGTCGCTATCTCACAGCATGTGCACTGTTCCGTGGCCGCATGAGCACCAAGGAGGTCGACGAGCAAATGCTTAATGTCCAAAACAAGAACTCTTCTTACTTCGTTGAATGGATCCCCAACAACATGAAGTCTGGCGTGTGCGACATTCCTCCAAAGGGTCTGAAGATGTCTGTCACCTTTGTTGGTAACTCCACTGCCATTCAGGAGATGTTCAAACGCGTGTCTGAGCAGTTCACGGCCATGTTCCGGCGCAAAGCTTTCCTCCATTGGTGAGATTTCGTTATCCAAATCAGTACGTAGTCAATCCGAATGGCCTGCATGCTCACGACGGAGTGCGAGTCCTGCTTTTGCTTGTCTGCAGGTACACTGGCGAGGGTATGGACGAGATGGAGTTCACCGAAGCCGAGTCCAATATGAATGATCTTGTTTCTGAATACCAGCAATACCAGGTGTGTATTCACGCGCTTAATACTTGCAGTTCTCACAAGCCGTCTCTGCTCGAATCTGAAAATTTTGTTTTTGCGTTTTTTTTTCATAGGATGCAACCGCTGAGGAGGAGGGAGAGTTTGACGAGGAAGAGGGCGCAATGGATGCAGAGGGAGCGGCGTAGACTTACCGTCGCTTTGATCTTGTCTTTAGGGATACTTTAGTTGCGGGTGTTCAGTCAAAGAGACTTTCAAAGTCCGCATGAGCCCCGGGCATATTAAAGATACATTGCATCAGCGGAATCGTTTCGTTGCTTTGTCAGCCAAATCGTTGAAGGGAATACCTGTAGTTACGTTCCGGGTAATTGCTTATCGTTCATGTGGGGAACTACAGAAGGAGGACAACGAACCGTTGCCACAAAGGTGCTGCTTGCGCCGCCCAAGAGGTTGGGTGTTTTGGCCTAGCCAACCTCTTCAACTGATGCAATGGTGTCGGTACGCGTAGCCAGCTTTAGATACTTCTGCACGGTCGTGTCACCGACCACTCGCGTAGCATTCGGTCTAATGACCGAGGGACAGCCAATGACGTTAGCGGTGACTGTCAGACTGGCGGAGGGAAGGGAGGGGGGTAAGCTGGTCTCCGCAACTCGGGATGGTTGCCCCCTATTCATTATTTGATTTGGCCTACACATTTTGTTTCGACCTACAAGTCATAATTGCTAACCCGGTTCACTAGGAGCGCGATTAGGTGTTAGATTCAGTTCCACTGCAACTGTGCATAACAATAGACCTAAATTGCAAATGATTCGCACATCTGTGCTGGTAAAAGCTTCAGAGTAGTCAATAAGACGTGCTCTTGTGCCCTGGAAGTCAATTGCTGCATCGCGCTTCCCCTGTGCTAACAGGAGAAGCGCGATGCCAAGGGCCCACACTAAAGATCCCTTCTGCAAGTCTTGGAGCCAGCGTCTTCCTTAGCCTTTACGTTCCTTAGCTCCCGGTCGAGTTCCAACACGACGCGGGCCAGCGCCTCGGGGTGCACCCCTTGCTCAAGCATCCTTACCAACAATGATAGCGAGGGCCTGTCCAGTCCTGTATTTAGAATATTAGAGATTTCCATCAAGATGTGGGGTTCAGCTATGCTACTGCTGCCATTTGATGAGCTGAATTTTGCAGGCATCCTCCACTGCGAGTACACGACAAAACTCGTATAATTGAGCACTTGGAACACCAGGTTTGTCGTCGAATGCTAAACCTAGATAAATGAACCGTGTTGATTCTCGCGCAGCCGTCGCAGCGCTTGCAGTCACAACGGGATGTAAGAAGGGATGAGCATGCCCACTTGAACAACGCGCCGAGGACATGCGCGCCAAAATAGAATTCAAGTGTCCGAACGGACAGGCATGTCCACTTGTGTGAAAGATTAATATGGAGGGCACGAATATTTCCTGGAAAACAGGACTAACCGGAAAGCCTTGTCAAAGGTGTTGGCAGCCACCAGCAGAAATGACGCATGCAACGGACTGGCAGGGACCCATACCGTCCTCTTTGCATCATGCATAGCATTTGGCTTTTTCATACAAGCACTAAGAAGAGCTTTTTCAAAATATTGTTTACCCCTAGTTGTTGTATTGCAGCTTCCATGAAAGGAAAGACGGTGGCTGTTGGCTGGATGGCCGAGCGGTCTAAGGCGCTGCGTTTAGGCCGCAGTCCGAAAGGGCGTGGGTTCGAACCCCACTCCAGTCAATTCCGTTGCTGCTTTGTTGCGGCTTCCATTCACATTCCCCATGCTGGGTTCATTCGCTGTGGAATTCTATGGAGGCGAATTATGTCCTTCCAAGCGTCGTTTGTCGGCCTATCAAACTAGTCCTTGTTGCTGCCTCCCCACTTCCAGCCGTGTCCCAGGAGGCTTCAGGATAAACCAAGTCGAGTATCATTGAAAAGTGGCTTATGGAGTCTTAAAATCTACAATTCAATGTATGTATTAGAGATGAAGAGTGTGCTAACAGGTGAGGAGGCCCGTCAGTCAATGCCGTACCTTTAATCTCTACATCGCCGGCGTTCACGTGATCAGATCAATGTACACAGGCCTCCCCTTACCATTTGTTCACCGCATTTTACGTAAGAGGAAACGATTGTGAACCCAAAGACAGCACTTGCCTGCAGCACCACGAGCCCAGCAACGTGGCATGAAGTCCTTGTGACTGCGTGCATCTTTAGTTGCTTACCATTAAAAGACTGCTTCGCATTCTTCCTTCGATACGGCAAAGTAGGTTCTCTTGATTTCCTTAGAAGCACGAAGCATAAAACTCGTTGGATCCTCGCTTCCGCTCACTCGATGCATGCAAGAATAGATAACTTCCCTAATCCCTCCAAGTAGTCTTTCTTTAAAATCGCACTAGACATGTACCCAGGCGAAGAGGCCACTGAAACCCCATACCCGCTAGGATGCAGTGTATCATGCTCGCAGACGAGCCGCGAATCGCTGCAAAAATAATGCTTTTGGTAATGCGTATACTAGAGCACCGTTTCAAGGCAAGAACTTGCAGTGCTACGACTACACAGTGTGCTCTAATCACATTTCTGTAGGCATGTTGGGTTCCTTCAGTGGATGGCGAAGTCCCTGGGGAGCAAAGGAATCAAAATTTGATCATTTGTTCACGGCTAAACTTGCCTGATCAAGAGTAAAATCAAGCAGGTAGAACGCCTATCGAGGCATAGATGCATTTCTTCTTGGACTAGGCTTTACAGTTGAGGCATAGCTGAAAGTGAACTAAGGTGCGGAGAGCGAAACAAATTCAGCAGGTGCTCGAAAAAGCCTCTTAGCTAGACCTGCTTGAGAGAGGAGGCAAACAAGTTCAAATGTACACACAGGTTTCTGTGGAATTGCCTTAACTTTACGAATACTTCTAAAAGGAGCAGTCTGTTCTTCCCCATGCTGCCTGAGGGAAAGCGAATTTAGAACTGCGGTGCTCTCAGCTCGCTCTAATACCCTACTGATGGCTAACGAGTGGCAACACGGTTATTAGATAAATTTACACTTGAGGCAACACACTATATTTCGGGACATAAATTTACTAAACAGTGTGTAGACCTATAAAATTTGCTGTGCAATATAGTAAATCAATTTTGTTTATTGTTTGCCATACCTACCAAATGTGTCAAACAATATCTTGCCACTGCTGCATGAACCCGTAGGCAGCATACATGCTATTGAACGCTTTGGAAGTGATATAAACGCTTTGAAAACTTCATACGAGCAAGTATACTGTAGTGACTTGTGAAAAGTATCATAGCACTAGCTATGTCAGTGCGTACTAAAGGTACGCGAGACCGTTCTGATCGTGGCTTTGCATGTCATTTCGAATGCGTATTTTCAAGACATGGTATGTCAGTGAATTATAAACCGACAGCCATTTCGTACCTTCGCACTTGTGTATTTGAGCTCCTTCAGATTCGCTTGTTATTCTTAGCACAAGTAGACGAAACCCCTTTGAGGTGTTCGAGTATACTGGAATTTAAACCACATTAGAGTTTTAGGGGAAGGCGTAGCATATTGACCACACAAAAACCCGCAGCGCTACATGGGAAAAAGAACCCGCATTCACATAGGGTGCTGTGCTAGCAGATCTATTACTGACTATTCTGCGCCAAGATACAGCTTGCAACACTCCATGGGCCGGACGCCAACACGCAGCATGGGTTGCGCAAAATGCGTATATTACCATCATTGGCTAAAAATGGAGGGATAGCAGATGCTCAGGATCCCGAGCAACAGAGAATACAATTCCCCGACTTCAACTCTAACTCCACAGGGTTGAGGCATGCTTCAGAAAGCAAAATATAAGAAGGTGTGGCTACTCTCTTTCGGGCCCTATATCACTCCCAGTACATTTCAGACACTGGATCACGATAAGATCAAAAACCCCAACTAATATAGATCCCCGGAGCAGCGCTTCGTTCTGGCTGTTTGCTCCACCGTGTAAGCTCACAAAGCCCAGTCCTCTTTATTAAAATGATAAGTTATGCCCGACGGTACTACTGAGGTTCCCAGGGCCAAAATTGCATTCTTTTAAGTAAAAAGCTTTTAATGCTCCACTGCAAGGAATATGCTAAATGAGTAAAGAAGAGCGGAATAGACAATATTTGCGTGCCATGGCAAGAGGGAGTTCTGTAGAAAATATGTGCTTCCTGTTGCACACAGCTACCGACCAGACGTCGATTTTTTCATGCGCATCGTCGCATTGCCAAATCCCTTTCTATCTGGCTGTTTGTCTCGGGTCGGGTAGACCACACAATTTAGCACGGAGTTATTATGCCGGCCAGTTAGCCACAGAAATCCCTGTGAAATTCCATGGTGGACCTATTCTGGTATCAACACTCAGTTTCTAGTGAGACTCCTGGGGTTTATCCGATATGGAGGGACACCATTAGAAACGCTATTCAAGCCTTAGTATATTGAAATCGAGAGCCCAATGCTAACAGAACACTTATTTTATTCAGCTGTTATTTGCAAGATCTTGTTGCTGAGTAAACCAGAAAGCTGATCACCAAAAGCCTTATTTTTATTAGGCTCTGGCGTTGCCTTTTGCCTAAACATATCCCAACAGTGCATTCAAAAGATCCCTACGCCATTTTTCCGCAGCTTGTGTACGCATTGGCCACTGCTGGCGTTCAATCCTAAATGACAGCCGCAAAATCGACATTTGTGCCTGATGTCCCTGGGAAGATAAGTACAATGCCTAGAACGAACAATACGAATGACACACTAACGGATATCCCCACACATGGGGAACCTTTATAAACTAGTACTGTATAAGTGCAGATGACCCTTGAACTCCGCTGGAGCAGAAAAGCAAGTTCGTAGTGTCCTGAATGTACAGAATATAATCACATTCAGAAGATACATTCAATATGCAAGATCCTGCTTCCTCAGTCTTCTTGTCCAGCAAGATCACACAATCGGTCAGCTGTCGTATTTCTTGTATTCACTGCCCATTAAATGCAAGGGCAAACCGTGCAACATCCAGATAGGTGTATTCATACAGCGGTTCATCACAAGGCCATAAGAGGCCTCTTACTAAAATCTATATCGCTTGAACATGCAAGCCTTCAGCAGTCGCTACGGCGCGACCTGGTAAGATTTGGCGGTGCCCTAGCGCTCCGGATCGCCAGGCTTATCAGACTCTTGTTCTCCCACGTTCAAGAGCTCTGAGGATGAACCGTCCGACGGTGTTCCAACGTCCAAAGGCTGTACGTCTGGAGTGGGTGAGGACGATCCTGGATGGGATGCGGTACCTGGTGATGTGTGCAAACCAGAAGAAAAAGGAACTTTGGCCGTTTTATTCCCAAGCGTTGGCTTTTCCCAGAGGTTGAAACTCCTGTGATCAGCACCTCTGCGCCCGTGGATAGCTGGTGAACGCGTTCCCACATGAGATTATGTGCCTCCATCCGCTTCAGGATTGGGTTTGTGTCCAGCGGAAGAAGCTGTATCCGAGGCAGGAGCGCTCTCTGAGTGACGCTCATCATCCTGACTCAAGAACCTAGAGAGTGCGCGTGTAGACGGTGACGTTTGTCTTTTGTCCAAAGGCAGTGCATCTGGGGTTGTTGACGACGTTGATCCTGTATGGACTGCGGTATCTGGTGTACTGTATGGGTCAAATAAACGACCTTCCCTCGTTCCCCTCCCAAATGCTGGCAATGTCGAACGGCTGGGATATCTTGAAGGAGGAAATCGACTATAGCTGCTTCGTAAACTCGCTTGCTGATAAGGTCCCGTCCCTCCAGTTCCTCCGTGCAGGGGGCGGTAGACAGGTAGGGCAGATCTACTCAAAGGAAGTGAGGATGTGCCCGGCCATAGCACTAGATCAGAGTAACGCGTAGACGTGAGGCTTGTGGATGGGAGTCCTCTAGGAGCACTTCCATGGTAGGGGGGTGTAGAATGACCAAAAGAGGCAGTGCTCTCCAACATTTGCCTGGCCACTTCTAAATATCTCTCTTCTCTTTCCTGCATCGACTCAGCTGGATCCCGCATCATTCGCTCAACTGCCTCCGGTATACGTGTTTTTGCGCCCTTTTGTTCAGTCTTTGCACTGACGGCGTCATGAAGCATATCAGGGCTCGTCACATCGTACAATTCCAATTCGATTGTCCCATGCAGTAGGTCGGAGAACTCCTCTGCGATTTTCTCTGCACTGATTTGCTGACGTTGATCTGGATTCAGCAGCCCCATAATCAGTTTCTGCCAGCGGTTGTTGATTCCATGCTCTGTCATGACGACACTTAGCGTAGAAGGTTCTGCGGTCTCTCTTAACTGCAGCACCTGTGCAACTACATCCGAGTCTGGCGTTAAGTCTGACAGGCCGAAAGGAAGCTCCCCTCCCATCATGATCTCATATAGCAGCAAGCCAAGGCTCCACATGTCAGTCGCTGGGCTGGTGAATAGGGGGGTGCTGTCTGTTTCAGATAAGAATTCTGCAAGAAAAGCAGGGTCGGTAGTTCGGGGCGAGAGCCCAGCCTCCCTTGGAAGTCTTTCTCCAAACTTTGAACTGGATTCAAATCCAGTCAGGATAGGAAAGCCATCCTCCTTGAAAAGGAAGCTGCTGGAGTTGATCTGGTTGTGGCTCCAGCCGCGATGCTGCAAATGGAGCACTGTTTTGAGGACGGTCCGAGCCAGATACGCCTTCCACCCGGTAGGTAAGAGATTTGAGGCACGAAGGACCGCTTCCAAGTTAGTATGCAGTCTATCCATGATCTCCACCCTAGACAATATGCTACACTTTTCGCCCTCAAGAATTTCTGGAATTCCCTGGATAGTGGCGATCATCCTACTGATAGAAATGCCTTTTTCCGAGCCTACCTTGGATATTGGAGTGGCATCACAAATGTCAATCGTGGCCTCAATCGAATGTACCGCCTGGGCATAAGCGACTGACCTTTCAGACTCACTCACGTGACCTCTTTCATGTGGCAACAAAAGATTCACACGCATTGCAAAGGGTGGTCCATCGTGTGCATCTCTGACTTCCACAACCACACTGTGTTCGCCTTCCCCAAGGAAATTCGTCACTGTGTAAATCTTTGGACCTGCTGAACTTTCGCTGTCTGTTACTTCGATTGCGTCCACAAGAGCGATTGACATACCTATGAGCTTCTTGGATTCTCCAGCGGACAGAGCACTCGCAAGCTCTTCCATAATTTCCTCTCCCTGAGCAGTTGGAGCTTCCGGTGCATTTTTCTCTATGTTCTCCACAACGACTGCCAGTAACTCCTTCCAAAATGTAGCCAAGGGGGATTTACGATCTTCGTCCGTTTCAACGGGCTCCACTAGCCACTGTGGCTCTGGATGAGACGGTAGAGGCTGTCCAATTTTCTCTTCCGCCTTTTCTACAACGAGAGCCACCTCTCCTACTCCCATAGGTTCCTCTGGCTCGTGAACCCCCAAAGCAGGCACTTTGGACGACACTGTCTCTGCTACCGTAGCATCCATCTTGGAGGCTTTAATCCTGACACTCATAATAAGCGCCAGAACCAACAGTAACGGGATGACGGTCGCATTTAACCTGGTCGAACGTCCCGAACCACACAGTTGCCGAGGCACATTGGTTGCTGAAAGAGCGCTACCTCCTGCCTGACCCTGAGGGCCTAAGGGCATTTCCTGATCCGACTGACTGGGAGGAATTATATTATCCGGTGTACCAGGATTATCCTGCGAAGTGTGTACGGGAGATTGGGCCTTTTCAGCATCCTCCATTTTTGGGACACCATCCACAACAAAGACTGGCAGAAGTTCGACGTGAAAGAGAAAACTTTGCGTTTTAATGACTGCATGAGACTTTGCGCTACGGATAAAATATAAAAACTGAACGATCAGCACACGCAAGTGTTTTCCACCAGTAACTCGACTCCGGAGACTGCTGGCCTCGTTCAAAGTATCTAGAATGCTCGTTTCTTCGACCACCGCGATCTAGAAAACACAATGACACAAAATGGATGCATACAACTTAAGCAATGAATGGCCCAAAAGGGCCTTAAATTATCTATCCTGAAATCGTATCCCGTGTGTGTGCAACAGCGTTTCCAGCGGTGCGACCCTGGATCCGTTGGCGGAGAATCTGTGCAGGCCCCCCTATCCCCTCTACCCCCGGGTAAACTACACAAATCTTACTAGTTTGGCTACGAAACCGGCCCAGAATAACCTCTACTAATTTTATTTGCAGTTTTATTGGGTGCTTGCAACGTCCATTCAGCCTACAACCCCCTGAACACCATCACAAATCTGGCAGGCCACCCAGTCTCTTCAACCCACCTTTAGGGCGAAAGGATAGGGATTGTGTTAGTCCTAAGGCGTTAGAGTAAGGATCGCTCAGAAAAGTAAAAGCTTCACGAGTAAACAGTCATAAATGCACCCGTGCACATGCAGGCAGAATGTAGGGTGTATGATGGGGCAATAATTCATGCACTTCATCTTCGCCTGCATATGGACATCTTGGAATGTTTGAGCCCGTTCAGGTTTGTCATGGATCCTGATTGGCTCCCAGTGCTTCCTTATATCAGTCCTCCCGCAAGTGCTTCGTCACCAGCTTTTGGCAGAGCTACACGCAACGAGGCCATTTACACTTCGGAGCCTTGGACGACAGTTTGGCTTGACTGCATGCATATACTATTTGCCGCAGAGTATAGTTGGCTACGCTCTAATACTTAATGTCGCTGTGAGTGTATTAAAGGAAGCACTTTGAGCCCCGAAGCCTACAGAACCCTCTAAAGAAAGTTACGTGCCGTTACTGTAGGTCTACCCCCATAGCACTACAATAACATCAGCTTCCCAGCGAAGGTTTGCGCTTTGAAAAAAAGGAGGGCATGAATGAGTGAACTTCTAACAGAAAAAGGCCCAACCTGGTACAAAATTAGCCTTGAATGTACGTCCAACATGCAGCCAACGTCATTGCTGGGCCCTGCGGACGGACACACAAGACACGTGTGGCTACGCCCTATTGGATTACAAGGCTCGAGAGCTCGAATATTGGTTTTTTGAGAAGAAGTTTGCTTCGCATTTAGTGGTCTCTTAACAGCGGCAGCATGGCGTTGTATGCAGCGCACTGGACAATATGCGCTTCGGCCTGTTCCTGCCTTCTCCATGCATGCAGCACTACAGGCATGCTATGCCAACTTGGAATATATGACGGCCGTAAGTATGAGCTAGTACCTGAATGCATCGCCCGGTTGGAGATGTACTTCGTATTGTATCTCGAAAATGAAGACAAATGAGTGCTCTCTACAATATGCTTATTGGAAGATGAAGCACCTTGCACTGTGGGATGCCCCTCATGAGGGCGTCTAACTACATGGTTAGAACTCTTTAGGTAGAGAAGCTCAGGTACCTGCAGGCATTTTCAAAGCTCATGTCCTCATACGAGCTCTTTTCCTGGTTTTTACCGAGAACTGCTCAACATCAAGCTGCAAGGGATTCGAAAAAGCTGAAGTAGGGGGATGCGTAGAAAGGAACTTATCTTCAGGCCCAAAGCGAATTTTACAGATTGTTATTTAGTGTTCTAAAATTTTTTTCGCATTTCTCCCAGCGTCCCCTAAAGCTCCGACATCAGGGGAGAGGGGCAGCTAGGGTAGGGGTTGCTGCACCCAAAACGTACGTCGAGCATTTAAAGCCTGTCACACACAGTATGTACCACGACATAAGGCACAGCATTGCGTTTTCTTCTACCAAGCTAACAGGACTCTGCAATAAATAAGGTATGCGAAGAGCAAATCAACTAGTCATTGTCTATACATGTGTCGTTTACTACACTTTGTGTGGTGGAAAGTGTGTATGTGTAGCCTGGACTGCTACATCCTCTCCCCCACAAAGCTTAGGTACGCAACCTCAAATCTGTAAGAGGCGGCGATAGCTGGTTGTCTGGAGCCGTGAGCTTAGTTCCTGAACGAGTGATTCTTGACGAGGTGGACGAGGTGACCAAACGAAGAACTTTGCAGGCGTCTGGCTGAGACCATTTGCCATCCTCCCACAGATCGGTCCCCTTTTGTGCACTACTAACTCCCCTAAGAGGCTGGAGGTGCCACGGGGCTATCCGCATTGACCTCATAAAGGAGAAGTAAAACATTTCGAAGTATTCGTGAATATTTCCATTCAGGCATCAAAGCAACGTAGAGGAGGAAGATTCACGGGGGCTGTACAAATGCTGGATTATAGGACTGTTGAGCACCGCGGACAAAAAAAACGAGAGATTTTAGTTAATCAGGGTAGGTAATGCCAACCGCAGTGGCTGATGGAGAAGCAACTGCTGAATCCCTTGCCTGCAGGTGACTTTGCGGCTCTGCTCGGTCCACAACTTTAGGTGCAATGGACAATATTCCTCACTTCTTTCGTAATTGTCCTTCCCCAGCTAAGGCCCTGCCTTTAAAGACTAACTTTCTTTAGGAGTCTTATTTGCCAAGTTACCCATTATCAAGGTGTTCTCCACACTCAGATTCATGCGCAGGAACTCTCATGTACGTCGTCCTTACCTCCTTGCTTGTGCCTCTTTTGGGGGTTAAGGGTCCACTTCGCTGCACGCATCCACTGTGTTTGTACGCACACATTGCTCTATGAAGCTCAAAACCACTGCAGAATAAGTATTTGATCTCCTCTGGACATCTTTTTGTCTTCTATCTTCTCATATCACGATGCCCACAATTCAGCACTGCGACAAAAGCAAATTATCACACCTCCGCCATCTCTATTGGTGTGGCTTTTCGCTCGTTGTTGTTGAATGTGTGTATATTTTTCTCTATTCTTTGAAGACGGCCGCTGACCACAATTCCGGCGCTGTCTCTCCTTAGCTGTGTGCATAGTTTTGCGTGCACTACCCAGCTATTCTCTGAAGCCTTCTACCGCTGCGGATGGTTGCTAACCTCGGACTAACAAGTTCATCCCCGAATCAGAGACAGGCTCTTCATTGTAGACCAGGAATGCGGGAGAGCAACGCGCAGACGAGTATTCTGTTGGGACCCCACTCAGCAGGAAAAATTCTCAAACAAAGCAACTACATTTTCCTTAGCATAGAGTTGCAAATATGGCAGAATAGTGCAACTAGTGTCGCTCTGCCCATCTGTCTTCGGGTGGTTTGCATTGGTTGTGGTCACTGGGTAGGCGGGTCCTGAAGTCACGCCAGAGCACACTGGCGAACTTCATTTCCGCATGTGGCAGTGCTGGAACAAGGAATGAAATGGGCAACTTTGCTGACGCCGTCATCAGCTATGTGGATGCTATCATGACCATTGACTTTTGGCAGTCCAACAGTAAAGTTCATCGTTTGGCTGGCCCACATCCTTTGAGTAACCGAAAGGCTTTGAGAAAGGCCGGGCTTGAGAAGAATACATCCCTTCAGCTGCAGAAAGTTTGGGCAGGAGACTGTGCACTCCTATGGAGCACGACGTATCCAAGGCCATCAAAAGGACCGTGAAAGTTTTTCACTGTTACCGCCGTCTCGTCATGCCGCGGAATGCTGTGAGTCAAATGCTTTCAGCAAGAAAGCGCTGTTAGACAAGGTTGGGATGCACAAGCGACAAAGTTTGGGCTTTCTTTCAAATACAGCCGGCTATCTTCATCGCGGGCCTGCAGTACATCCCCTTTTTGCCGTTCTGGATTTAGGCAACGGAAATGGATGCATTGAAAGCGGACCCACGCAATTTCGATAGAAATCTGGAGTCATTACAGAAAAGAGTCGTTTCGCTTCACAGTAATAAATACTTGAGGCGTCGAGAAACCGCGTCACTGACCACGCTCATGATGCCCTCCCTATACTTCACTGTACAGTAGTTATGCAAGAAATGCCCACGCCGGCGAGCAAGTCGAGGATTATCGAGATAAAAAAGCCCTTAGTAAAGCACATTTAAGACTAATGGTTGGTTTGGATAATAAGTGAACTCCCACGTAAATCGTACCGGCGTTTCCAATGCCCCAGCAAGCTGCATAAAGCCCCTTTTCCCACACAGAATATCGCTGCTCGGTTTCGATGAAGCGATGAGAATGATATGCAGTACTCTGGCCTTTCTTAGAGAGCCGTTAGCCTCTTACGAGAGGACAGCACGCACCACCACGTTATTAATACTGGCTGGTAGGAAGAAATGACTCTCATAAGCGGGTAGCACAAGCCTGGAAAAATTGTATGACGCCGTTGAGGGATCCTTGATGCACCATCAGCCTTCGCTCTCGAGATCATAGATTGCGTATTCCTATGTCGATTTGTCGAATAAACATCATCCTGCGTAATCTCAGTGGTGAAACTTCAGTCATTAGATGGAAGTCCAGAGAAATGTTTAACGCCCTTGCAGGTGCGCGAAGGCCACGGGGGCTGTTAGCTTCAATTTAAGCGGGCCTCGCTCGTTTCCTCCAGCCAAAAAAGGGATTCCAGAGCCGCAATTGTTCCCATAAAAGGCAGACGGTTGGGCGGCTTCACAAAGCATAGCTTGTCCCGCAGCAGCGAAAACGCATGTTGCAGGGGTGTTGATACTCTTGAATCTTTTAGCTGATGATTGAGATGCTGTCCATGTGGACTGCCACCTGCTCCTCCCTTATAAGCTTACTAGAAGGCCGAACGACTTGACGTTGCAATCAAGGCGAAGCATTTACAACTCCAAACTGTATATCGTTTGCGGGTGCGACTGTGAGTCACCTTTTTGTGCCTGAAAAACAGTGTGGATAAGGGTCTGTTGGAAGACATCTTTGAAGTCAAATGCCGGGTATACTGTCGGTCCGTGTATCCTGTCAACTGATTCGCCAGTGGGAGGCACCCGAAATTTCTGCTTTCCAATGCTTTTGTTCCCTGGCTTAAAGCTTACGGACATGGGCCCCTTCCGTCTTGTATCTGGCACCGATACCGGATTACCGCCGGAAGTGTTTGTCGATTCTTGCACTCTATTTTTTTTAATAAACTGATTGGATGCCGCTGCATATCCTCCGTTCGTTGTGAATGGCTGCGATACGACGAAACACAGTGTGAAAGTGACCAGGATATCAGCTCAACACAGTATGCCGGATGAATAGCAGGAGGCCAGCCTACTAGCGGCTGGTCACTGGTCGTCATAGCCGCGGAATCTTCTCTTACATATACTTAGTCCTGCTCGCTCTTCCTCAGCAGGGGGCTCAAATAGGATTTCCTGTGAAAGCACCAGGTGAAGGCCACTAGGGCGGGATGCATGCTCAGAACCGTTTTCTCAACTGCGCTGCTGAGCTGCCCCCACAAAGGCTCTGTCATACATTCGTGAGGTGCCGAATCCACCTCGCTCATCACGCGTGATATTAGCATTGTTGAGATCCCAGGAGCTGCTTCTTTCTAGCGCCTCCTGGCTCACTGATTTTCACAGCAAGGAGCTGGGGCCGCATGTGCACCGTTCAGTGGGTCATCCACATACATGGGATTCCGTCGTGGTGCACGAATCAAGCATGGAAGTCTCGGCCCATGCTGATGCGACCCACTTTAAATTTGATGAGGCGCTTGCCTCGCTTTAGCTTTGCCATTCCGTGCGTTCTGACGCCCTTCTGCAAACCTGCGCCTTACGGACTGTATGACAAGTGAAGAGGGAGATTGGTGTTCTGTACCCTCCTTGGCTAGCAGATTCACTTCACATCCACTGTCCATTGACGCAGGCGATTTTCACTTATTAGTTCAAACTCGCACCAGCGCAGAACTCATCCGTAGTGCGTCCCCTGCTGCGGCTCTTTCCTCTGTAGCCCTAAGCCACTGCGCCGCAGCCTGAGTCCGGAACTTTCTCTCTCTGGTGCGCACACCTTACTCGCCAAGCAGCTTGCTTCCGCTGAAATCGGTCCTGTTTTCCAAGTTCTTCGCTTTTTGCATGCTATTGCTCTTCCAGATTAGTTGATCTTATCTCTCGCAATAGCATGTGCATTGCTGGGAAGCTGTCTGGGTGCTGAGAAGCGCTGTTTTGCTGTAGTCCTGTTTGCTCATTTACCTTCGATTGTAATCAAGGCTTGTTTAAAAGAACTCAGGCATCACCAGCTCTAAATCCGGTTTAGATCTTTCGGTTCAGCCAGAGACAGAGGAGATGCGCTTCTTTGCTCCTGAAGCCGCACGCAGTCCATCAAATGTTGAAGCGCCACCAATCCATATAATCACTGAGTCGCTTCCTCTCCTGCGATCGCCTGACAAAACTCCCGAGTAAGCTCACAATGTGTCATTGCCAGAGCAACTGTTCATCGACGCTGTGGAGCTGCTGAGTTAGTATCAGCTTGCAGACAGGCCTTTACTGATCCAACAGAAGTTTTCTCTCCGTCACCTTCCATCTCCAGATGAGTTTTCCCTGCCTGATGCAAATGATAAAGAGTATGAATTACAAAATGGCTTCATCGAAACCAGAGAACTGTTGTAGGAAAACTTGGCAACCCACTGCATCTACCGCCAATGGGTCAATGTGGCACAGATGCACTGAACTTTGCGGTTTCCACCTGTGGTGATCCACATGTTTCCATAGGGAGGCACTTGACTTCGAGACCCAATAAAGCCTTAGTAACCAACTAGTCAGCTCTTTACTTATTCGGAGTTGAAGATAAAGAGGATAGTAAAGAGTGTTGAGTGCACCAAAGCATGCTACATGCAGGGAATGTAGCAATTGCGAACGACAAAAGAAGTTATGTGCTGCTTGACGTAGTCAATTAATGGGGTGTGTCCGGCACGAACAGCTGTTGGGGGAGGAAAGCGAAGTAAAGATGGGCCATGAAAGCAGAATCTATAGTTGCTACACATCGAGCACCTTGTCCTAGTGCTGCTGCTGCATGCGGCACCACGACTTGTTGGCAAGAAATCTTGTATTGAGTTTTGAGCGTCTTGCTCTCACACTGATCTCGGTAGTGGATGAAAGTGAGCGCCAGGCCTCTGCAAGCTCACTAACGAGACTTGGCGAGCTCGAACGTGTAGACGCTGTCTAAATTGTTTGTGGCATCCTGACCTCATCCTTCATGTTGATTTTCCATGAGTATAGCGCCATTCCCCTAGCATGCCAGACAAATAAAATGGGCCTAAAACGCAGGACCTTAGACTAGCATGGCGGGGCGACTCCAACACCTGATAGATCGTATACAGAGAAAACAGCCTCCCAGAGCCTTTTTCTTCCAATGTTGGTACACTTTTTCGCAATTTTGCGTGCAACAATCAGGGGCGACCTGTTGCTAGGAAGTGGGTCCACTGCGCCATAGACGGCATTGCTGAGCTACCTTAGCAGTGGGACTGTAGCCACCAAAGCGGCTGTTGAGATGGAAATTAGCAAGTGTTGGCAAGCAGCCTATTGACGAGAAATTAAGTGGTTACTTGTCTATTGAGATACCGTAGTCGAAAATAACGGGTGTAGGGAAACTGGATATATGTGCCTTGGGGAGAGCTACAACTGACACAAAATGTAGCTACATATTAGGTGAGCTGTCTACCTCCTTAAATACGCTATTTTTCATTAGCTGACGAATCCCTGGCAGTACGAGTACACATTGGGTGGCTGTGCATTGTGCGCAATGCACAACTTGGCAAATGCCGAGTTCCCTGAGGGCACACCGGTGTGCGCCCTAGCTCCCCTCTAGTTCTCATAATGAGACCTTGTAGGGTGAGCGCAAAGAGCTGAGCGAGCTTCTCCGAATGAAGGCTATGTTTCCCCCTCCCTTCCATGCGCTTTATATGGATTGTGGGCTGAGGCACTTTTCTTGGGGAGGACACACGCGAAAGGCTACCAAGTACATAAATTATGCGAAGCATTCTCCTACCCAACTAGGATTGGCATAGCCTTCCTTCTTCTGCTAGCTCAGAACTTTAAGACATGCTCAAGTGCCGTCTGTTCTATGAGAGTCCCCAGTGTGAAGGAGTGAGAGCGAGGAGGGGCGATAAGCATGAAGGGACGGAGTATGGACCACCTGGTTCAGGCTATATGGCTGGACTCCCAAGCTAATTTTCGCATGCTTATATATGTACTGCAAAAGAGATAGGGATTAGGACTGAGGCAGATGCCTATAATTATCTTCTCGACGCAAGGCGGGTATTCAGGCTTGCTCACTTTTGTTCTCTTTTGCATACTGCTAGGAAGTTATCAAAATTTAAGCGTCGTATAACTAGTCCAGCATCGTTTGTCCATCATTCGCTAATACAGGCAGCATAACTCTCGGTTTGAAACTCTCACGCAGCTATTTCCTCTCGCTTGACTTCTCCCGGGCTTACTGTGGCTAACAGGTTTAAAAACACCGCACTTCAATTTTTTAATTCTCCAAGCAGAAAGCTATGTCACCTATGTCTGTCAAAATATTTAACTTCCGACATATTAGGTCCTTACGGATGAGCCTGAGCTGCTGGATCCTATTTAGTACCATCGGTGCACGCTGCATAGTGCCAGTCTAAGTTTACAAAAATGCACCACATAAATACAATTCACCTACACTATATGGCGAATAACATAAAAGCGATGTTTTAGCCAGCAAATTATCTTGTTGTCTAAAACATCTACTAGCAATGCCGATTTGACTGCCCCCTCTTCCAGCGGGTCTCACAGGTCTCCGTGGTCCCCCCAATTCCATCTTTGCTTTTCAGTTGTTAAAGTAGTATAGCATCTAACTACCCTATAATTATTATTCGCTCTTCAAAAGGCCTTAACTCTAGGGCCAAGCCTGTCAAATTCCTCTCCAGCTTGAGCTCATGACCCCTTGGCGTATCGAAACATCCACTGCTTTCTCCGCTCCTGTTGGCCCTTTTGATTGTAAACTCGAGAAGAAACTCGCGTAGTGGTGATTATTGCTCTTACTTTAATGTGCATGGGTGATGGGACCATACTTACTCATCAGCAGCATCGACCCTTGCTAAGCAGAGCCGGTCGAAGCACATCAAGTGCGGTTTCTCCTCCTTGGCAGATTTCGCCTTGTTCCTCTAGACTCTTCGTCATCTTTAGTGTAAAGGCTATGCTTGGTAAGAACAAAGTTGGGTGGTAATCTCGCAGTGTCGGGGTAGATAACCCTGTGGCCATTCATCCATATACCTGCTGCTTCCTTCTCTGCAAAGGCTTCTACTATGTCACACACAAATCCAGAGCAAAAGAATTACCGCGTTCTTACGAGGACGAAAGATGGGACGCCGAGGGACACTCAGCCAGAGGACTGGTGGATCATCGGTACTACAAACTACGTTGTCGTAGGTAAACTGTGTTTTCCATGATGCCATTAGCTCAGTCGTGCATTTGAGGTTGCATACTGAGCTGCTTGTATTGCGATGCGTAATCTTAACGGGTCTCTCACGTAGTGCTCAAAAAGTGTGCGATTGGTCAATTGCGAATAGCAGAAATCTGATAACAGAGTAGCCTTACCACTTTGTTCTTTAGAAGAGCCTCCCTTTATATGTACTCCCTTGTTGTGTTACCACAGATCCGACGAAGCCTCGGAGTTCAACGGAGCTCATGAAGCTGCCTTACAGCCCCAGACAGCAGCAACCAGCGCCACTAGCAGTCAAGGGAGTGGTGAGGGTGGTTTCGTTTAACTCTAGATCAAAGGTCTCTATGGTGCCCAGTCAGCGGAAGCTCAGTGGAGAAAGCGACATGAGGAACACTGTTGGAGGGGTTCTCGGGGACACCTACTCCGAAGCTTCACAAAAGGCCTCCAGAGAAGGGAAACCGGTAGATATGATCGAGAGAGCTGGAAGCAGCAGCACCTCTGGGGGGCAGCCTGTGGGTCACCTTGTCGCCTCACATGGTAAACAGAACAGCGCGAAGCTGCTGAGACACCTTTCAATAGGTTTTCCCCGAGTATCTCAGCGTACAAGCGTCCAGTTGCTGAGGTATACTCTGAGTGCAAAGCCCTACAGGAAGCTGCCTTCATTCCGGGATATTGTCCGTCAGCTGCAAGCTGACACCCAGCACCATCGCTTCAGTAAGGTAGGTTTTCTTACTCGTAGTATTCTTCAAACTACGAAGGTGGCGCACTTCAAGGGTGAAAGCACATAGGTAATGAAAATACCTTCGAGGTCCTTTGTTGATACCCACAGGATAATTCGGAAGTGCAAGACGGCAGTGTCGGCAGCATCATTGAAGGTAACCCCATCAAGGCCAGTTCAACAGAATCAATTTTTCGAAAGCTCGCAAAGGAGAGGCTCAAGAGGAGTATCACGCGCCTTTCAACTAGAATGCCGACGTCGCTATGCGGTGGACCGATCTTTGACCCTGATACCGAGGTAAGCTACAACCAATAGTAGATATACTGTGTACACATGGGTTAAAGCAGCAGCTATTTTGCGTAGTTTTACTTTCTGTGCACGTACATGCCTGTGCAGGCAGACTAACATGATAGATAATCCTTTTCTTTGTGATTGCGCAAATGTGTATTGAAGGTGCACTTGCCGGGCTCTCCGCTCGTCGATATTGGAAGGCTGGCGATTAATGCTTTCAGGCGACTTAAGCAAAGAGCTCATCTGCTGCATTCACAGACTTTCGCTTTGCAACGAGCTGCTGAAATTTTACAGAGCACTACTGTATTGGCAGAGCCGGAAGCGGTACAAGGACATGCGGGTTGTCTAAGTATTACAAGGCTCTTTGATGTTGACGATTCCCCAAGCAGTCAAAATCTGATAGGAAAGGAAAACCTTGAGATTCATGCCGCTATGACGGAGGGCCAAAGGCAAAAGCTAGAGCAGGAGGCAGTATCTGCTGGGCAGCAGCGCCAGCAACAAGTGGAGTCCTTCAAGCGCTTTCACGAACACATACGGACTGCTTGTGGTGAGCTAGCAAGACTTCCTGTTACCTGCCTTTTCCAGAGTCAGTTGCTGCTGATACTTGTCTATTCCCTGCACATTAATGATGGGAATACACCTGCCCAGTCGCGTGGAGGTCTTTTTATGTTTGCACACATATAGATGCACACGCCCCATCCAATAGAGCGAATGCACCTGTTCCCTGTGGCTATCATTCGCAATGCAGAGTGCCAAGAAATGATTGGGAGCACACGGTCATCTGAGTTCCGCTTCGCTTTGACTAGCTTCGAAACCTTAATGGCTGAGTGGAGGAAGCCTTCTCCGTCAGCACCACTGCTTACAGCAGTGGCCCTCGCGTGTCTTCTTTTCGCCATGTGGGTTTATGGTACCCTTCCTGTACATGTGTAGCTCACGATAAAGCCCGTTCCTGCTCATGCATCCAGCAGCAGCTTGTCTAGTTCTTGAATTTAAGACGCTGCATAATCGCCAGTAGGTGTGGAGTCAGTGTGCGTTGTGCTTGTGTCGGCAGCGCGTATGAGTGCTGCGCCGTCGGAACTAATAGGATGGCAGCGCATACCTTGTACAGCCTCATGGCGCGCAACGGTTCAGGGGAAGTGAACGAAGAGTTCACAGTGCGCGACCTGCGCTGTGTGGTACTCCACAGCTCGATGATGGAACAATTGACACTTATTGAGGGCACCGCTAGAAAGATCATTGCTCTTGTCTTCGCACACAGTACCTCGAGTTCGCTGCCTACCGCAGAACAATTCGGCCTCCCCACGGCACTGAATGCACAGTTGGCGCCGCCGCCAGCCAATTCCCCAAGCTTGACTCTGGATTCTGACATGCCAGCTGTAGTAGCTGCGGCTCAACAGGCAATATCGGCTCTTCACGTAAGGCCACTGACCCACATACGTCTTTATTTTATTACCATTGCTGAAAACCTTTGCTGCAGGTCAAACCTTACAGAGCTATATTGTGCACTTTGAATCCTTTGGTAGCCATGCGCTCTTGATACTCAAGAAACTGGGGTGCACAAGGAGTGAGGAGTTGATGCCTTCAGGAGGCGGCAGGTCGACGGGGTGATGTACTTATGTTGGAGCACGAAGCAAAACTCAACCGTTCAAATCAAATGGTGAGCTCTTCGAAGATGTTGCTGCGAAGGCTATCATTTACTATCGTGGAGCTGCGCCTTTATTTGATCAAGCTGCTAGCACTCCGTTTGGCACTAAGCGAAGCTGGGTGCGTAGAGACGGCGTGGGAAGGAATCGAGAATTTTGACAACCAAGCGGCTGACTTCTTGAGTCGTATAGAATCGGTGTCGTAGCATGGTTTTTTTTCTCTAAGTTTCCTACTCTCGGATATTCAGGTCTTCAGCTTCATCGAGAGCCTGCTACGTGCTGGAATATCACTTTTCATGCCTGTACCATGAATGAGTTGGAGCATTTTAGATCATCCGGAAAGCGTTCTGCGTGAAAGGCGTCTGGTGCGTGGTAGAGTGTGTACAGGTTACGGCGGTACATCTGAATACCGTGAGAACTATGTCTCTGTCCTCTCAAGCCAGTTGTGTATGTTGGCCTACTGGGAAATGCCACAGCAGCGGATCGTCCGTTTCGATATTTCTTATTTTCCATGCTTTCACGGAACTTGCTTTGCAGTATTGACTCAAAAGATGGGCAGGTGGATAGTAGAAAGTGCATGTCAACGCGAACCTGACCCCGCTAATGTACGTAGACACTAGCAGAAGATACACAGCATTACTTGGTGCCTTAATAACGGCACATATCTATCGCTCCATCCAAGATCTCCGTAGAGAGCTATGTTTGACTCAAAACTCTCTACTCCACCAGGTGTGTTCGACTTTAGTAGACCTTTGATTAGTTGGTTTGCCGTTCGTATCTTCCATTTATTGCAGAGTAGCGTTAGCTCGCTACGTGAACACGTAATGCTGTGTGCGTTTGCGTTTGATGCCTTATGCAACAAGCTGTGGGATCTTTACGTGGTTCTAGCGTGCAACAACCCGCACCCTAGCTGCCCCTCTCCCCTCATGCTGGAACCGTGAGAGTGCTGGGACGAAAGATGGCTCCTTTAAAAGTAAAATACTCAGTATCGTTCTGTAAAGCTTGTATCGGGTATTCGAGCCTAGCGATTCCCTACGGAAACATGTTGATCACCACAGGTGGAAGCCGCAAAGTTCAATGCATTTGTGCCCCGCTTACCCATTGGCGGCAGATGCAGTGGGCTGCCAATGTTCCCTACAACAATAGTGGTTTTGGTGAAGCCATTTTGTAATTCAATACTTATCATCGTCGGAGCAGACAGGGAAAACTCATCTGGAGATGGAGGTGACGGAGGGAACACGTCTGTTGGATCGGCAAAGGCCAGTCTGCAAGCTAATGCTAACTCAGCAGCTCCACAACGCCGATAAACAGTTGCTTTTGCCGTGACATATCGTGGGTTTGCTCGAGGATTTCGTCAGGAAATCGCAGGACGGGGAGCGGCTCAGGGGTCATACCGATTGTGGCGCTTCAACGTGCTCCATAGGAGTGCACAGTCTCCTGCCCAAACTTTCTGCAGCTGAGGGGATGTATTCTTCTCAAGCCCGGCCTTCCTCAAAGCCTTTCGGTTACTCAAAGGATGTGGGCCAGCCAAACGATGAACTTTACTGTTGGACTGCCAAAAGTCAACGGTCATGATAGCATCTACATAGCTGATGACGGCGTCAGTAGAGTTGCCCATTTCATTCCTTGTTCCAGCACTGCCACACGTCAGAAAGAAGTCGCTCAATGATACTTGATTCCTGTCTGGAAGCTTCAAGAATCCCCAAGGAGAAACATTTTGTGAATGGGGATCTGAAGTTCGTCAGTACGCTCTGGCGTGACTTCAGGACCCGCCTACGCAGTGACCACAACCAATGCAAACCACCGGGAGACAGACGGACAAAGCAGCACTAAATGCACTATTCTGCCATATTTGCAACTCTATGCTAAGGAAAATGTAGTTGCTTTGTTTGAGAGTTTTTCCTGTTGAGTGGGTTCCCAACAGAATACTCGTCTGCGCGTTGCTCTCCCGCATTCCTGGTCTACAATGAAGAGCCTGTCTCTGATTCGGGGATGAACTTGTTAGTCCGAGGTTAGCAACCGTCCGCAGCGGTAAAAGGCTTCAGAGAATAGCTGGGTAGTGCACGCAAAACTATGCACAAAGCTAAGGAGAGACAGGAGCGGAAATATGATAAACCATGGTCGGTTGTGTATTTACAGCCTGAAGAGTTGGTTCTGGTGGTAGAATATATTACGTGCACCAGAGAGTGACCAAACGAGGAAGTTCGTGGCCAGGAAGCCAGGAACGTTTCCAAGCCTCTCACCAATCAGTGTCCTTTCATACTCTTTTTTTTCAGCTTTGGCGTGCCATAAGATTATCAATGCTGGCTTACTACGGGAGCTTCACGATTCCTCAATTTGTTAGCGAACTTCTGCCACATGCAAGTGATCCGTGTGGATGCGAAGGATCCACAAGGACCCTTAGTGTGCAGCTGCAAGCAGAGACTACCCAACTAGGCGCAAAGGAAGTGCTGAACGAGTGCTTTTTCTGAATTTGTCTCGTGTCATAGGTTCAAATTCCAGCCCTTCGACAGCAAAGCACCATCGCACCACCGCAGTCGTGTCGGTGTGCTCGGCCGTTCGTTGTTGGCTGGTAAGTGTGTTCCTTCCTAGTTCGGTTGGTTCACACACTTGCTTCTATCATGTGGCCTGCTTTCGCACTTCTGCCTGCATGGGGAGTGGCTACTAAGCGAGAGCTCTTCCGCTGCCCTGCACGGAGCTGGAGCCTCAACGAGTAGTTTGAAAAGGAGGGGGTGTGCTTGAATTAGGCGATACAAGAATGCATATCTAGCAAAGTTAGCTTAATATTTTCTACTGCACTAGTTGTGTGTAGCTAAGAACTAGTACAGAATTACCAAATTGATTTGCTTGCTCGTATATATTATTCAATGTAGGGTACCTTCACTTGATACAGCAAGGCGCAGTGTTGTGTGCGTGTGCATTAGATGCTATATGACAGTAGATGCTATGTGACAGTAGCTGTGCGTGCTCGGAGTGCTCAAAGGGTGCAACGACGCCGCGCAACATAGCCTTTGCTCCCCTTGAATAGGACTTATCGGGAACGTAGGGGAAAGAAAGTTTCCTAGGAGAAGAACCTCAACAACTTTGCGCTTAGTTTTAATCGAGTCGCAAATTAAGGGTCTCCTTGCGGAGACCTTAGACAGGACGCTACACCCGTGGCAGGCTTTGCTACAACCCCGGCCTCCTCTGTGCTTACTGCAGATAAGCACCAAGGTACATGAAAAAACGACTTATGGATATCGACCAGTGACTATGAATACCATTAGGGTGTCTCATGTCCTACTTTCCCCTCCCACAGCCCAGCGTACTTGATGAGCTCCCAAGGCCAATCGGCGGATAGCAATGGGTCGCTTGGGCATCGACTGCTTCTTTTCTATCATCCGCATTCTACAGAATCAGCGACTCTAGCTATGGCTGTTTGCAGATACTCTGCGGTACTAGAGAATAGTTGTTCAATCGGCCACTACTTCTTCATGAAAAAAAAGTGGGGCTACTCCCACACTCCACATTTAAAAGCTCAGATATCCCCTCCACAGATACACATCAAGCTTTGTTTGCAGCCGGGATCCTTAGGCTGCAGTTGTTGTAAAGCCTTCCATGCTACGTGAAGCGTCCTGGTAGGAGAGCTGCTGCAGGGTCCTTTCGCTGCTCTTGCTTTTCAGTCTGTAGTGGTGGTGCTCCTGCTACGCTCTGAAAGCTTTAGTTTCTCACTAAAGATGAAATTTATGACTCTTGTCAAAAAATGTAGTCTTCATCGACGGCCCAACTTTGAAGCTGAAGGAGCAGTGCCCCAGTGACCCTCGGAGATGGTTTTCTTCTGCGTGTCCGTTTTCCTATTCAAAGAGCGGAGAGATCAGCAAGCAAGAAAATGACCAATGAAGGCTCGAATACGGTAATGAGCTTCCTCTTAGGTTGGAGTAGACCTCCAGTGGTCTGTCACCGGCATTCCTGGCAAAGCGGCGCAAGCTGAACCCCTCGCGTTCTGCCAGGAAGCTGGGCAGGCAGATTTTACATAGCGTAGATATTAGTGCACATACAGAGCCATGTCAAATCCCTGAACAACCTCAGCACCAAGCGCAATAGCCAGGAACGTAACGCCAGTCTCCCACCCTGCAGTTTGCAGCCGATGCCGGGCGACAAACACACATGCCAAAGCGGTGCTTTTTTCAAGGAAATACTGTGCTCCGGGAAACAAAAGAACAAAATAAACTCAAATAATAGCATGTTACAGTTCTCGTAGCCTCTCGGTTCCTCGCTGCGACATCTCATGGGGGGTGCTGCTGAGGCCCGCAGCAGCGGGCGGAAGGGGCAACCGTAGCGGCGGCACTACTATGCGCAGCATTACCAGCATCCGTGGTATCATAGCAGCAGCAGCAGCTCACGCGTGCCGCTGCTATCTTCAGCATCTCGTTCCAACAAAGAAGCCTCTGTCTTATCCTCTTTTCCGTTTTGGTTAGTGGGAAACCTCCCAAATGCCACATCCCGCTCGGCGAGGGCTCTGGCACTCTCTCTGCTTAACCCCAGGGAATACATTGGCCTTAACTGCCGCCCCTTCCACGTGCGCTTCTCTCCAGCAACTGCAACTGAAATACCAGTACAGACAGCAGGAGGAGTGCCATCTGCAGCGGCGACAACCGCCACACAGCAAAACACACCTATGAGGCCCCCAACGAGACGGTGCGTCTTTTCTGTTTCCTCCACATAGCTGCAGGGAACAACGCATAGTGCTCCGACTGGGGTGTCCATATTACAGCTGCTGCAAGCATGCCGGATGGCGTGGCGGCAGCAGGGGCAAATCCAGCGGGAGGGGCCTCCCCATGCTATAGCATGCCTCGGCAGCAACGGAGAGCGACACTGCTGTCTATCAGGAGCAGCAGGACCGCTAGAGGAGCTCAGCTCTCCGCTGAGGCGATTCGCCAGTTCTTCGATACAAAGCCTGCGGAAGACTCGGGGGGAACCACCACAAACTCGAGGAAGTTAGACTGCAGCCTCTTCAACAGCCAGGCGCAACAGGATGCCTCTGCCCCCCGACACCTCGTGGCTGCAGTGCCTTGCCTGCCCGCAAGAGCAGCAGCCGACACAGCTGTGGCAACGGCAGTCGCTGCATCGGGAACAGGAGCGCTTCTCGCCAAAGATCTTGCAGCAACTGTGTCTCCTACGGCATCCAAAGGGGAAGCGTCAGGAAGTGAGGCGAGGAAGCCCAGGAATGACTCTGCACCGGCAATGCAGCGTCCTCTTCAAGACGCCTTTGGCTTCTGTGGTGCCGTTGCAGCAGCCTTTGGAGAGCCAACAGTGGCTGCATCAGACGCTGAAGGGGCGCGAGCTGTGCCTTTTCGCTGGAAACTGAAACGCAGCAGTAGCAGCAGCAGTTGCAGTAGCAGCAGTAGCAACAGTTGCAGCAGCAGTTGCAGCAGCAGCAGTAGCAGCAGCAGTTGCAGCAGCAGTTGCAGTAGCGTTTGCAGCAGTAGCAGCAGCAGTTGCAGTAGCAACAGTTGCAGCATTTCTGCGTTTTCCTTTGGAGCAGAGCGATCTCGCAAAACACACCGAAAGAACGAAGCGGGCACATCTTGGGGGACCTCATATGTCATACCCCCACGTGTTGCTGGTTCTGCCATGAGCGCCTCTAGCTGCGGCAATGCCTTTACCACCACACGAAAAGGCGAGAATTCCGGAGGCTACAGACTTGCCTTGGGGGCGTCTTCTCCCGCTCTGCAGAGTTTCGTAGGACAGAGCTCTCCAGCCACAGACACAGAGGCTCTAAGAGTCTCCTCCTGTTCAGCTATCACAAAGAAAGAAACCATCGCAGACTCGAAAAATAGCCGCAGTTTCGTGGATTGTATGGCACCTGCTACTCCTGCTGCTTCGCATTCGCGACCATGGGCAGAGCTGCCAGAGCCGCTGGTGCTGCAAGTTCTCGATTATGGCGGAAAAGAACTCGGCATGAGTCGGTCTTTCTTCTTGCAGCTAACGCTCCGCAAGCGATTGTTGCTGATGCCGCTACTGCACATGCTACTGCAAATGCTACTGCAGATGCTACTGCACATGCTACTGCAGATGCTACTGCTACTGCAGATGCTACTGCTTCTGCTACTGCACATGCTACTGCTACTGCAGATGCTACTGCACATGCTACTGCTACTGCAAATGCCTCTGCTACTACTTCTGCTACTGCTCCTGCTACTGCTCCTGCTACTGCTACTGCTACTGCTCCTGCTACTGCCGATGCTGCTTTCGCGATTTTGTCGCTCCCCCGCTGCTTTTACACGGCACCGGGATCTACCGAAGGCGCAATTTTTTTTCGCCAGCTCATGTGCCCTTTGCTGCTGCTGTCGGCTTCCCTGCTGCTGCTGCTAATGCTGCAGCATGTCGCCGATTCGCAGGAGTCGTTCGTCGTCAGCGCCGCGTGTTACGTTTCTCTGGGGATGCCTCGATGTCTACCACTTTTGCAGAGACCCTCGTAAAGGCAATCATGAGGCAAGCTTTCTTTCACCCCACGGTTGGACGACTTAGACACCTCACCAAGCGAAAATCCTGTAGAGCAACATAACAACACACACTTTGAGATGGCTTGCTCTGCACGGATCGCTGCCCCTGCTGTTGTTGATGTCATCAGTGCTGCTATTGTTGTTGATGTCATCACTGCTGCTATTGTTGTTGATGTCATCACTGCTGCTATTGTTGCTGATGTCATCACTGCTGCTATTGTTGTTGATGTCACCGCTGCCATGGCCGCCTCGAAGAGAGCAGCAGCACCTGCCATTTACGCAGCGGGCGCGACTTCTTCTTCTAGAGGGAAAGAGACCTAGAGAGAGAGTGCGTCTTTTTTGAACGCGGAGCGAGCTGCTCCTGCTGCTGCTGCAGTTGCTATCATCGCCTTTGCGGCTGTTTTGCATGCAGCTCCCCGAGTTTGCGGCTGCTAGAGGTCACCGCAGGCGGTGGGCTGAGTGCGTCTCAGCTGGAGCGGCTATCCAGAGCTCGTAGCAGCGCCTTGCCCCAGAAACTGCAGGTTCTTGTCTTGCGGCGTTGCAACAGACTGACGGATAAGAGTCTGAGGACGCTGCTGCTCAGGTGTGACATGCTTCCGCAGCCGCTTTCCTGCCTGTGCGAGTTTGTGGATGGATAACGGAGTCAAGGTTACCACAGGCATGCAAGTGCCGCCGCTGGAGCCCAGCACACCCGCTTGCATGCGATGTGCCCCTTTCCCCATCCCAGGCGCCCACCACCTCCATCCATCCGACCGTCTCCATCCCCCCCTATCCCCCGCATGCTTTCCTCTGTGCGTGTCGTGCTGCAGGCTGCGCGAACTCCGGTGTGTTGACTTGAGAGACTCCTTCTCGTTGACAGATGAGGCACTCTCCACACTGGGCCTGCTGCCGCGGCTTGAACGCGTGGCATTGGGGCTAACAGCGGGAGCCAGGGGATGCTGTCGCCTCACCTGCCGCGCGCTTAAGGCCCTTTTCACACCGCAACACAAGCAGCATGTGCAGCAGCAGCAGGAAGAGGAGTGCATCTCGCCAGTCAAATTTCTCTCTCTCGCTCGTTGCAGCGAGATGAAGGACTTTGCAGTTTTGGCAGCAGCAGCCAAGACACTCGTGAGGGCTCATGTCTCCCGCTACTGTCTGATCTTTGCTGTTTGTGCGCTGCCTCTGCCACGTCAAAGCAGCTCTTTGCGGGCTCAGGCGTTGCGGCCTTTGGAAGCAGTGTGTGTGTGTGTGTGTGTATGTATGTACGAGTGTATGTATGTGCGTATGTATGGATGAGTGTACGAGTGTATGGGTGTAGGTGTAAGTGTACGAGTGTATGTGTGTATGTATGAGTGTACGAGTGTATGTGTGTGTGTGTGTATGAGTATGTGTGCATGTATGTATGAGTGTGTGCGTATGTATGTATGAGTGTGTGCGTATGTATGTATGAGTGTATGTATGTGTGTGTGTGTGTGCATGTATGTAGGAGTGTATGTGTGTGCTTGCCTGTATAAGTAATGTTTGCACATGTCCATGTATGTAGTTCGCGTCTAGGAACTGCAGCAAGAAGCGCAGGAGTGCCAAAAATAAGGTTCCTGTGCAGTGGATTTCGTGTGGGCGAGCAGGAGTTTCTTGACCTCCGAGGGACGGCCATCGACGACTCTTCTGCCGCCGTCTTTGCTTCTCTGTCTAACCTTCAAGCGCTCGTTCTCGCAGGCAAGCAGTTGCAGCAGAGGCTGCAGGAGCTGTGGCAGTAAAGCCGTGCGGGATGTCTTGGCAGCGGGATATTTTAGGAGAGAGAAAGCTTTTATTGATTTTCCCAGCGCGTTGAAAGAACCCCCGTGATGCACTGCCTCCTGCGCACGTGTGCTTCGCCAGTGTGGCCGCCATGTGGTATCTGCGTCGGTGCCCTTCCTCTGCTTCTGTGGGGTGTATAGACACCGCAGTCACAACGACAACAGTCTCAGCAGTGGTGGACGGCTGCTCGAAGCTGCAGATGTTGGATTTGTCGTGCACGGGACCTGTGTCTCGCGCCTGTCTCTTCCGTCTCGCCTTTTCTCTCCAATCGATTTCCCGCCTCAAGCTGAGCCACACTGCGTGAGCCCTCTTGAGGCTCCCCAGCCGCTGATTCGAGCTACCGGGCATGTGGTTATGCCTCCTGATAATATCGGCAGCAGCACTGTGCTGAATGGTGAAGCTTTCGCCTGCCTGTTGCTGCTTTCGTTGCTCTGCAGAGCTATTGACGACGGCCTGCTTGCGCATCTGCTGGCTGAGCTGCCTCTGCTAAAGTTTCTTGACGTTTCGCATTGCTGGAGGGTTACTTCGGCCTTCTCCGATTCGCCCTTCACCGTTGCCTCAGGTATCTATGCTCCTGCGAGGGATAGCGCTTGTGCTGCCTCCCCACACGCGGCTGCAGCATGCGCCTGTATGGCTCGCTGCTCCAGACGAGACACTCCTTGAAAAACCGTTTGTTGTCTCTTTTCCTGTATGACTGACTGGCATGCTTGCCTTGCCTCCGTGTTTCGCCCGCTGCGCTGCTCTGCGTGGGAGAAGGGGGGGAAGTTCGCAACGAAATGCGCTGAAAGCTTAGGAATTCGCCCCTTCGACAGCTCTGCTGTGTGTTCCTGCAGGGAAACAGCTGAAGCGCTTGGGCCTGTTTGGGTGTAATGTCGAGAGACAACGAGTCGAGGCTGCTCTCATCGCCGCGGGGGCTACAAACGCTCGATTGTCTTTACACAATGTAAGACGCTTGTCGTGCGCCTAGCGTGTGTTGCTGCTATTGCTGGTGAAAGTGTTGCCCAAGGTACAGTCTTGCGTGTGCTGTTGCTCAAGCATCTGCTGGGGTCCATGCTGTGGCAGCCGGTAAGCGCTGCTCCTATGCCACCGCTGCAGCACCGAGCGACGCTTTTGTGGGGTAGTCCTGCGTATGGGGTGGCTGTGCGCACCAGGAAATGGTTTTGTTTGATATGCCTCGGGTGTACGCAACAATGAATGGGCTCGACATTTGAACGGAGGCTTGCCTCTCCAGCAAATCCTCTGGTTCTCTCTAAGGGCTGTCTACTCATTTTTCAGCCTTCGCGTGGCCTATGGCAGGTTCCCTTAAGGGACGCAGTGCACGCGAAAGGCCACGGGGAGTCTTCAGCATACTGGCGGGGTTCGTACGGCTCACGGAGCAGCACCCGGTAGTTGCAAGGAAGAGGGCCTTCACTCACCGGCCTATTGTATCTTGCATGCGATTTTTGCGTGGCTGCTGCTGCCATAGGAAGCATTAGAACGCTTCCAGCTGAGAATTCGCCAGCCTAAGGGCAGGCAGAGCTCCAGCTGCACTCGTTCCTTTTTGCTTTCGTTTTTTTGTATGTAGACGCATTCAGTCAGCTAGGGACTGCGGGCTGCTGTTTCTCACTCTCCCTAGCTCCCTCGCCGTCTCTACCAAATTCGCTCCTTCTTCGCTGCTGCCTTCGGCCCCAAAGCTACCCACTCTCCTAGTTGCACCGACCAAGGAGACAAGCATGTGTTTTGCAGCTGCGTGAGGTTGTAGATCATGATGTCTTTGCGCTCTTTGCTGTACAGCTCTACCGTGCGCAGCTTGCTAGACAGCACCCTCTAGGGCCTTGCACTGTTGCTTATCAGGAAGTTTCAGATATGCAAAATGCACACGTTACAAGCGGGCGCTGCAGCCTGCGTGATCGCGCGAAAGCCGGTTGCATCCATAAGGTTCATGTCTAAGCTTTTTACAGCACGTTTGCTAAACGTCTCAAGCTTTGCAGGCAACTCGCCAACAATCACAGGCGTCACCGCCACTGGTTTGGCCGAAAAGCATTTGGGTCGGAGCGGCACCTAAGCAGCCAGAGAGTTGTGTAGGACAGGAGGACGGGGTCTTTTGCATGTTGAGGGGTCGCGAAAACACCTGCAGCCAACGGGTGCAGCCATCCATGCAGGAGCCTGGTAGGGTAAAGAAAGTCGTATCGTGGGGAGGCGTCCACGCAGGGGCTGCTTCAAATTCCAGACTGTGTGCATCATTGCGAGCAGGCAGTTTTGTCACAGCCATACGGGCCCTGCGTGCGCCTTGGAGATGATGTGGTCTCCGGGAATTGGCTCACGGATGAGCGCAAGTACAGGCAAAAAGTCTGCTTGCAGCTCGCGCAAACCAGCGAGCAGCCTCAGTCATTTTTTTCTTAAGCGTCAGTATCTAAGGAACTAACGCAGCAAACTGGTGTCGCACGCCCGCTTCTAGCGGTCTCAGCTACGCATCGATTCCTTGTACTGCATCTGTTATGTTGAACTAAGGACGGGACAGCATATACTAGTCGATCCTCCTGTTCTTTCGCGAATCTTATTGACTGCACAAGAGTATTCGCCAGAGACAAAATGACCCAATACTGTGTGCGTGTGCAGTAGATGCTTTGTACAATCAACTGCGAATGATCGGAGTACTTGAGGAGTGACGCTACGCGCACCCACACCGAGCCTGTCCCCCATGTCGCGGAGGAGCGCTCGCAGGGAAGGGAGGAGGAGCGTCTTTTGAGACATACTCAGAAAATTCAATAAAATTTGTGTGGAGTCCGGGTTGAAGTGTCTATCCATGGTGACCCTAGAAGAGGCGATACACTTGCGCGCAGTCAAGAGGACCCACGTCCACTGTCTTTGTAGAAAGTAAGTCCTGATGACAAACAGTCTTGACGCCCCTTCACAACGGCAGGTGTGGTCACTAAGAGAAAGAACATGGAAATTTCATGAGCTGTTTAACTTGCAAAGATGGTTTGATCCACTCATGCATGAGGAAGCCACTATCTGATGATACGGGGTGATTTTCTGATTGCTGTGAGAATGTCCAGATTATGCAATTACTAAGAGTCTTTAGTCCTTGCCTGGTGAATCGATATTGGCATTTTTTTCTCGCCCCAGAGTGAGCACTAACCGTTGGCCTTGCGACAGGAGGAGGAAGCCCGTGCGGCCTTATATATACACACATACAAATGCTCCCTTGGGATACAGGGCACTACAGTGGCTCTATACCCTATATGCCTGTCTCTTTGTGTAGCTGAGAAGCTATGGCCAGTAGGGCAAGTGACACGTCATGCTTTCTAAGAAGTGCTTGTGCTTTGTTGCGCTCTCTCGGTTTCATTGCCTTTAAAGGCACTTTGGCTTTGGGGCACCGCATATTGTTTATAGCCCTCTGCAGGTGTGCATCAGTTTAGATGCATCATTTTGGATGGTACTTATGCATGTTGCTTCGTGAGAGAGCTAGTTATTTGCTTGCTGCATCGCGCATAATCTAGACACACAGGAGCATGCAAGGGCCGAGCTGCTACCCGCTAAACCTGCGCATGTGCCGAGACGCTGTACAGGGCTGTCTCAGGCATAGCAAGCCGATGCCGAGCCTCTGCCAGAGTCGGCGCAACAAAGAGGCTGACAGGAAGAAGACGGGAGGGAGTGACGGCAAAAGCCGTGTAGGCAAGCTACTTGGACGAGGCCTCAGAAGCATTTGGGGCTAGAGATAGCTCAATAGGAGCATTTAAGAAGCAGCGCACGCGCTGGGAAAACAGCACAGCCACGCCATCCGACTTCGCCTACAGAGGGCAATCTCCCGCTTGGGCTTGAAGTCGACAGACCCCGGCGCAGCAGAAGAACCGTTTTGGAGGTTTTGAACACAGCATGCACCCGTAAAAAGGAATGTTTGCGATATATTTTTTAGTGTCTACTCTTTCAAGACTGGGGACTGCTGCACGAGCAGAACCTTCGATGCCGACCGACCAGCCCCCACCCACCACCACCCTCAACTGGTGTGTTCCACCGCGCCGCATTGTCTTCGTCTTCTTCTTGTGAAGAGCATCGAGTCTTTTCCGTAATTTCAAAAGCCAAAAATCAAATCTGAAATCCAACACTGGGGTCGTGTGCAGCTGCGTATTCAAGTGGACGCAACGGATGGGCGCTGCGGCAGGCTGCCATCTCCCTCTGGCTCGCCTGCCAATTGGAAGTCTCACCTCTGGCTGCTTTCCTCGGGCAGCATATGAAGTGACACTGCAGAGGACTGCGGCTTCTGGATAAGTGCGAGGCACGCTTCCTCCGCAGTTCCTTCGATTTCGCGGGGGTTGTGGGGTGTCTTCGTGTTTCGCGGCCATATTCTCCCTCCCCCGCTGAGTGTCTCGTTGTCTGCTTGCCGACTAAGACTGCCCCAGAGGCCTCTGCTGCTGCATGCGCGCGAAATGACTGCGGAGAGAGATACCTTCGCCCTGCAGTGGGAGGCCCCTAAGGGGGGGGAGATGGGCTGCATTCCGAAAGGCCTCTGTCCAGTCATGCGTTTTCCCGCTTCAAAGACACCTACAGAGCCAGCAGCGACTGCAGAGGGTGCAGCGGCACGTGCGGATGCGTTCAATGCGCACTTTTTCACGTTTGATAGGTCATCGACTATTGGAGTTCAGCGGCTGCTCCCGCTGCCTCCTTCTGAAGCAGCAGGCGCAGCTGCAGCGGTGAAGACTGAGAGCAGCACGCTCACCATTGCAGCAGCGGCTGCTGCTGATGGCGGTGTGACAGCCCTTGCAGCAGCAGAGGCTCAGGAGGCAAGTGCACCGCTGCAGCTCTTCGCAGGCCTTACCAACGGGCAGCTGTGGCATCTCGAAGTGAAGACGCAACTGCAGCACCCGCTGCGACTTGTTGCATCTTCCAAACAGCTTCTCTGCTGTCGGATGGCGGAGCCAGTGGACGTGGTGTGCTGCTACGTCCCCTCCGAAACAGCGCAGGAGGAGTCTGCGAAAGTCTCAGAAAGACTCCAAAACGGCAAGTGGCGGCTCATGGTGATCGTGCTGTACAGCGACGGCGTGAGCGTCACGGCATGGCCTGAAGACACACACGAGCAAACAAAAGAGCTTCCGTCAGTTGCTGCTGCATTCGTTGCTTGCCCTCATCTGCTCCCCCTTCCCTTACTTTGAACCTCCATGAGGGGGAGGCGGGAGGGAGAGGAGGGGACCGTTGTCTTGGGGAAAAGGGGGGTAAGCCTTCGAAGGGAGGCGCGCACACCGAAAAGCAGAGCTCTTCTGTCTTTTCTCTTTATTGTGAAATAATGCTTTTTTCAACTCTGCGCACAGGCCGGTAGAGGCAGGATCACGTCTTGCTGTGTCACCTCTTGGCCACCGAGTGGCTATCAGCACCACAAAGCGTCGCTTGGTGCTCCTCGAGCGATGCGGAAAGACATTTTCTGTGCTCAAGGATTTCACTCCCCTCAAACTCTGCGCTCCGGAGGAAGCCGCTGCTCAACCGTGCTGGTAAGTATATGTATCAGTGAATGTGTGTATGTATGAGTGTATGTGTGTGTGTATGTATGAGTGTATGTATGAGTGCATATGAGTCTGTATGTATGAGTGTATGTGTGTGTGTATATGTATGAGTGTGTGTGTGTGTATGTATGAGTCTCTATGAATGTGTGTATACGAGTGTGTATTTGTGTGTCTATGTATATGAGTGTCTATGTGTGAGTGTGTATGTGTGTGTTTACGGACACGTGTGTGTTTGTGTATGAGTATGCGTGTTGTATGTACGAGTGTGTATATATTGATATATTTATATATATGTATATTTCTGCGTGTGTTTAGCCGTTAGGCTATCTCGGGTTTGCCCCTCAGTGTGTTATTGCTTGTTTGTTCTGGCATGGCCGGAGAAGTTTTCCTCGCCGCGAACGTTTCCTTGAGGATCCCCTCAAAATCTGAATTTCCACACACTTGCGGCTCCAGGAGTGCTGTGTGATATTTTTGCTGCAGGCTTGGAGAGCAGGCGCTGTTGCTTCCAGGAGGTTCGCAGCTACGGCAGTGCAGCGTGAAGAGTGGCTGGGAGGTGATGGAGTTGCCCCCCTGTTTAGCTGCTGGCTTCGGTTTGCTGCAGCCGCTTGCATGCTTGACGGAGGAAGAAGCTTTGCGCAGTGTCGTTGGGGGGACAGACGTCTGCCCCCTGCTTTGCAGTGTTTCGAGAGAGGGGCGAATAGACGTCTGGTGCCTGCAGCGGGCGGAGCCACTCGTGACTGTGCAGGGTAAGAAAAATCGTTGTTGTTTCGCAGCTGCGAGCAAGAAACCCCCTGAAAACTCTCCTGCTGCCGTCTCCCAGAGCTTCGCTGCTGCTCCTTGCAGAGGAGCTCTTTAAGAAGCAGGCCTTCTTCTTGAGCCGCTGAGTGAGCCGCGGCGGAAAGACATTGAGGAGCGCGTCTACTTGTGTTCACGTACCCTTGTGTCTGCCGCTTGCATGCAGGCGCAGAAGACGGCAGGCTGACGGCCCTTTGCTCGCTGCTTTCTGCTTCAGAAGCTGCTGCTTCTGGTTTGCACGGTGTTATCGTGCTGCTGCGGGAAGACGGTTGCCTCGGTTATGTCTCTCTCAGGCGTGAGGCGCTACGACAGGCTGTGCAGAAGGCAGTGGAGATGTCTGCAGGAGTGGGTCGAAGCAGCGAGGCTGCAGGTTCAAGAGCTCAATCCGACGGCAAAGCAGCATCAGCTGCTGCGAGACGGCCAGAGGCAGAGCGAGGGGCAACTCAGAAGGCGGAGAGGCAGAAGAAAGGAAAGCGCAGAGCACCTGAAGTGTCAAGGGGTGATGAAGGTGAGGAAATGATACGGATGGGGAATAGCAGGGATAGCGGGGAGGGGAAGGAAGTGAGTGAGTGCAACTTGCGGCCGGTAAAGTTTGCCTTGGTTTCTTCTCGTTGTCGTGCGTGGACTGGCACTTTATGCAAAGCTTTAGCAGTGCAGCCACCTCTTGAGGAAGTTGGAAGACGCAAGTCATTAAGGGCTTGCGGGTTCGAGGGGGAGGGAGGGCTGTCTTTGACAGGCGTAACTCAACGTCTGATTGGAGCGAGGCAGGAAGGGGGGGATGGAGAAAGCAGGGGAGAAAGCAGGGGGATGGAGAAAGCAGGGGAGAAAGCAGGGGGATGGAGAAAGCAGAGGAGAAGGCAGGGGTATGGAGAAAGCAGAGGAGAAAGCAGGGGGATGGAGAAAGCAGGGGAGAAGGCAGGGGAGTGGAGAAAGTAGGAAAAGGGGTATGGAGAAAGCAGAGGAGAAGGCAGGAGGATGGAGAAAGTAGAGGAGACGGCAGGGGTATGGAGAAAGCAGAGGAGAAGGCAGGAGGATGGAGAAAGTAGAGGAGAAGGCAGGGGGATAAAGATTGTAGGAAAAGGGGTATGGAGAAAGTAGAGGAGAAGGCAGGGGTATGGAGAAAGTAGAGGAGACGGCAGGGGTATGGAGAAAGCAGAGGAGAAGGCAGGAGGATGGAGAAAGTAGAGGAGAAGGCAGGGGGATAAAGAAAGTAGGAGAAGGGGTATGGAGAAAGTAGAGGAGAAGGCAGGGGAATGGAGAAAGTAGGAAAAGGGGTATGGAGAAAGCAGAGGAGAAGGCAGGGGTATGGAGAAAGCAGAGGAGAAGGCAGGGGAATGGAGAAAGTAGAGGAGAAGGCAGGGGGATGAAGAAAGTAGGAAAAGGGGTATGGAGAAAGCAGAGGAGAAGGCAGGAGGATGGAGAAAGCGGGATGCCGGTGCTGGGGGGAGAAGGATATGAGTGCTGCCTTATGCGCCTGAAAAGGAGTTTTTAAAGGCCTTCATGAAAATATCGAGGCAGCGTTGCTCTTGGATGGCGCTGCAGTCTCTGAAAGACGAAGGCGTCGCCTTGCAGCCAGTGCTCTTGCCAGCCGCTGGTGTGCTTAGGCCTCCTCCTCTGCGAAGCGAGGGAGGTAGATAGATGGGAGGAAGGTAGATAGATGGATGGGAGGAAGGTAGATAGATGGATGGGAGGAAGGTAGATGGATGGATGGGAGGAAGGTAGATAGATGGATGGGAGGAAGGTAGATAGATGGATGGGAGGGAGGTAGATAGATGGATGGGAGGGAGGTAGATAGATGGATGGGAGGGAGGAAGGTGGATAGATTGCTGTCTGCTGTTTTCCCTGTGCGTGCCTTAGGCGAGGGCGTGGCTGCGACTTCAGTGGAGGCGTTCTTGAGCCGCGAGGCAGCGGAGAACTCTTCCGAAGAATCCGAAGAAGACGCTGAGGGGGAAGGCCTCTTTGACGAGATGGAAGCAGAAGAAACATGTCAGACAAGACACAAATAGAACCACCGAGGGAGAGGCGCAGTGGCTTGGCGGGAAAGGCGGAGGGGGGGGAGGAGGGCAAGCGCAGACAGACGCGCATGCGGGCAGATGTATATATGTGGTCCCCCTCCCTGACGTAGCCTCGGCTTAAAAATATATCCGTTTTGTCTGGCAATTGCTATGTGTGGGCCTTGACAACTGTGTGTGTCTTCGTGCGCCTGTGCAAGTGACGGCTGTCTTGGCGATAAATTTTAATCGAGGGGTCTAAAGGATCGCTCTTTCTTTCTCTTCCTTTCTCTGTCTTTCTCTGTCTCTCTCTGTCTCTGTCTCTCTCTTTCTTTTTCTTTCCCTTTCTTTCTCTTTATCTTTCTATCTCTTTCTCTTTCTCTATTTCTTTTTCTCTTTCTTTTACTTTCTTTCTCTTTCTGTAATGCTGCGAGGATGTGCTGCACGCTGCAGAGTGCCTTTTGGGTGTACAGCGCGTGTGCGTAGAGAAGCCTTGTGCTTTGAGGCACCTGATATGGCGGGAGAAGGGGACTTATTGCAAGGGGGGGCCTGCTGAGTGGACACGAGGGGGTTCTTTCTTGTGCTGCGTATATGTCATGTGCCGCTGCAGCTCCCGTGAAGGACCGAAAGGCGGGGAGAAGATACCGTCAGACATCTCTACGGGCAAACGACAGCGCTAGCAGCAGTGATGAATCGGAAGTGCCTGGCAGACGTTCGATGGAGTTGCCTTTCGCAGAGGAGGATGCCGATGCTGCTTTCGCCCCAAGTGTGAGAGACGTGCAAGCACAGCTGCGAGAGATGCAGGCGTTGCTCAGTGCGCTCACGAAGAAGCAGCAGGAAGTCAGACAGCCTTTCTTGCACCCGGGGGGAGGACCCCAACCAGCAGACGCAGGCAAACCCTGGTGAGAGCAACGCTGAGACAGCCACGCATGCAACAAATAAATTGCGAATGGACGGCAAGGCTTCCGTGTATGCACGAGCCACACCTCTATGCGGGTGTACAAAAAACATGCGTGCTTGTGAGTGTTTTCCATCGTGATGAAGCATCGCGCCTTCTCGGGAGTATTGAGGGTGTGTCTCTCTGTTTTTTTGCGGCTAAAATATCTCATCTGGAAGAACCCCTGGCCTTGCTGCGCTCCAGCTGCCTGCATACGCAGTCTTCTTGGAGCCGCTGTGCATGCAAGCGCCTCACTCCTCAACCCTTCTTCCTCTGTTCTGCTTCTTGGCAGGTGTCTTTACTGGACGCAACACGGCCATATAACGAAGACACTTACTGCAGACAACTCGATCCTCGATATCTTCAACTTCGCGCAGGGAGCTGCCGCCGAGGGAACGGCTCACAGAAAGCTCGCAGATCTGCAGAATGCCTTCACGGCTGCTCTGTGTGAGGCTTCCCCTCTTTCCCTCCGGGCAGTTACCAGGCCCTATCAATGCATGCTGCTCTAGTCTCGTGCAACCGTGTGCAGCATTTTTAGACGGTGCTTGCCAAGCACGAATCGGTAGGAAGGGAGACGTGCAGTGCGCGCGTCTCAAGAGAAGGCCGCCAATAGCCATCCCGTGCTGATGACACACACACACGCACACACACACACACACACACACACACACACACACACACACACACACACACACACCAGTCAGCAAGCCCTGCCTTTGGGCTTGAAGGAGATCTACGCATATCTGTTTTGTATGGTCTGCGTTAGGGAGTGTGAAAAGGTAAATGGGTGTGTATTTGTGTGCATGTGTATGTGTGTATGTATGTGTGTTTGTGTGGGTGTATGTGTGTCTAGATGTCTGTCTGGATATCTCTGTATAGCTCTCTGTATGATGCGTGTGTGTATGTGTGCATGTGTCTTCTTGCGCTCATGCCCGCATACTCTCGGATGAGGCGTTTTCTGAATTGTTTTTCCTTCAGGCAGGGCTGGTGTTCTCCTCGCGGCCTCTGGAGCCTCACATAGTGTCATGGAGTTTCGGTGAGCGGCGCTTTTTTCCAGCATTAGGTAGAGCTATTCCTGTCTCTTGACTGGGCCTGTTGGGAGGGGATGCAAGGTTTTGAGCGGAGGGGGCAATGGGAAGTCCAAATCGTTTTTCGCATCGGTATTTCCTGCTCAGAAACCTACTTCATGAGGGGCGGTACACTTCAAGAGTCAGAGACATAAACACGCATGCGCTTCCGAGAAAAATTCAGATGCGGCGTGTGTGTGTGGCTCAAGCGGCCAGACTTCTACCTGGGGTGTGTGTGTCTCTGTCTCTCTGTCCGACTGCCTCGCCATGGGTGCCCTTTGGTCTTGTGCTTTCGTCTCTATCTGCAGCTCCTTCTTGGATGCAGGTTCTTGGGTGAAACACTTCCCCGAGGGGGAGAAAATCCTGGGAGTTGCCGCAGGGGATGCCTTCGTGGCTGCAATCACAGATGCTAAGTAGGCAGGCTCGAGCTTTGCGCCCTTCGCCATAGTGTGTTTGCTTCCAGCCTGAAGAAGTTTCAATGAGGGGGGAAGGGGGAGGAAGAAAGCGTCTCGGAAAAAATACTGTTCTAGGCCGCTCTTGTGACTTGCAGAGGTAGCAGAGAGGCTCCAGAAAGGCCTCCTAAAGCGTATACTTGCTACTGGCTAGTGTTGCACTGCTGTTGCTGCCAGGGCATCTGTGTGCTGCATGCAAAACAGAAATCACAGCCAAGCAGCTTGCTCTAATAACCTACCTACCTGCGTGCCTACCTACCTACCTACCTACCTGCATGCCTGCGTGCCCTCGCGGAGTATACGTGTTGTTTAGGGGGGTTTGGTGGGTGCTGCGTGTGTGCGTCGCTAGGAGCTTGCGTATTTTTACTCTTGGAGGGACGCTGCTCTACACGGCGGATGTTTTTGGCCGGCCGGTGTCTCTCTGCGCTTCCCAGCAGTTGCTCGTTGTTTTGACGCAAACTGGATGCAGCGAGGGAGCTCTACAGCTGCACTGTTCGCTGATACACGTACATCCCATCCCAGTTTGGCCTGAAGCGCACTTCAAGCTGCCTATTTCTGTCTTCAAAAGAAGGCTTGCAGCTCCACCCGCCGCTGCTGCTTCCATGCCCGAAGTGGATATCCTCCACGAAGGTCAGGCACGCGTTTTTGCGTAGCCTTCAAGGCAGCGTTTTCAGCGATGATTTTCAGGCTGCCGTTAACAGAAAGGGCAGGCGGAAAGGGCAGGCCTTACTGGGGGGGAGATGCTGCTCTTCTCTTTTTTCGCTTTCACATGCAGACAACACGTGCATGCGACCCCTCGGCGTCAAGCACGCACAGATGTGCAATAGAGTGCATGCAGAGGGGTCTACGTTTGTGATTCCGTTTGAGTCATCCGTGCATGTACGTAGGTATGCATGAATGGGGCAAGTACATCTATCTGTACATGTGGGGGGGGATGTATTAGGTGTGCATAGAATATGGACATGTCTCTGTCTGTACATGCGTGTAAGGTTGTTGTGCAGGCACATGGATGGGGAAGTACATATATGACTGTATCTGTGTGTATATGTGCGTATATATGTGTATATGGACATCGCTGTAGACCTATGTGGGCATTTGTTTGTGCCAAGATTGCGGTTTTAAAAATGTCATTGTGTACTCACCTTCTCTTATGGCGATTTTTTCTCTGACGGCAATTTGGAATGTTGTTGGAATTTCCTATTTGGCGTTTCCCGAGTTTCGGCGTGCCCTTGTTGTACGTGCATGCAGGTTTCTTTGACGTGGAGGCTCCCTTAGACTGGATTGGTGTTTCTCCTGGGGGCATGCCTGCAGTCAAGGATACCTCTGGTGAGCTGCATATGCAGTGTTTGGTGGTATGACTATGATTGGCGATTGAAAGCCACGTCGTGTAGAGCCGCGAATGACAAGTGTGTTGCTGTCTGTCTGTCTGTTTCTCTGTCTGGGTGTTGTCGAGTGGGGCAGAGCACGAGCAGTCTGCGTGTAGTTTCGACTGCATTTCTTCTGGCATGAAGCTTTCTAAGGCCGATCAGCGGCGTAATCTGCCTTCTGCGAAATACGATGTTGGCCCCTCTGCAGGTGTTGTAAGGGGCCTGCTGCCAGTTGCTTGCTGCCCGAGCAGTGGCAGCGGCACTGGATACGCGTTTAAGTGGGTGAAAGTGTGTTCTCTGGAGGACGCATGCATCTCGGCGGCTCTGCATCCAGTGGTTATTGACGAAACGAAGGTTTGTCGAAAACCCCGCAGCGACTGCGGAGTGCATGCGAACTGACGGGGTTGTGTGTGGCTTGATTAGGGCTGGGAAAGCCTCTGCTGCCTGCGAGCGATGGTGGATGTCAGTATATATATATATATGTATATATATATATCTTGTGAGGCTTCTGTGAACCCGCAGGGAGAGCTGGGTGTGATTCGTTTGAAAACGGAGGAGAGTGTAAACTCGAAGTTTCCTGACTGCTCTGTGGCGGAGCCGCTTTTTGGCTACACGTTGGAGCCTCTTCCCCTGCGCATTCCCTCGCCAGATCTTTGGCCTTTCCCCCGCTGGCAGCGATTGCTTCGTCAAGACAGAAATCTGAAGGGGGTTGGCAGCGATGGGGGGGGCGATGCGGCTTTGGTGCCTTGGCCTCAGTATGACGAGTTGCGCGTGCAGCAGGAGCTAGCCATAAGACAGCTCAATCATGTGGTTAGTATTTGCGTCGGTGCTGCTGCGGGGGGGCCGGAGAAAGAGGAGGCCGAAGCCAGAGAAGCTCACAGGAAGCTGCAGCTCCTTTCTAAAAGGCATGACAAGTTCTGCCTGAGGGGCTTTGCCAAGTGCAGTGACGATAAAAGGGTGAGAGACCACTGCGTGTGCGCGTGGATGCTGCCTTAAAGAGGCCAGCGCCAAGTTGGCATGCATATGGTGTGTGATGGCCTTCTTTTTTGTCGCCTTTTGGTGTTTCGTGTGCCCTTCTTTGTAGACATATGGGGGGGTAGAAAAAAGGAAATCGCTCAAAGAGTGCTGTTCGGCTGCACAAGTCGGATCGGCGAAGGGGGGTAGGGATACGTGAGGCGCAGACTGGCAAAATAGCTCCTGCCTGGCCTTGAGCTGGAGTAGAAATTGTAGACTTTTTCTTCCCTTGCCACGCCTCTCATAAACCCTTCCCATTCTGCTGCAGCAGCAACCGCACGCTTCGGCCTTGTGAAGGGGCCGTCTTAGTGTGATATACACGCTGCAACCTTCCCACGTTGGAAGGCAGGAGAAGCATGCGGCGGCTCAGACTGTAGCGAGAGAGAGGGAGAGAGAGAGAGAGAGAGAGAGAGAGAGAGAGAGAGAGTGAGAGAGAGAGAGAGCAGGAGAGCAGACAGGTGAAAACACGGCGCGAAAGGGCACGATCAGGTGGTTTGTAGTTGGATTTATAAAAAGAGTTGTTTTTTTATTTT